AGGGAGGTTAGCACTTTCCTCATGGAGGTCTGAGGATTAAACGAGAATCATGCATGTAAAGTATCAGGCGTTTAGTGTGCAGCTTAGCAGATACTGGTTGGCGCTCTGTGCTTTTCCACAAGCCTGTGGCCTAAAGGGAAAACAGAAAGCAGGTTGTTCTGAGGTATGAGCCTGGGTGAAGGCGGCATGGGACTCTGGACAAGGGAGGCAGTCACTGAGGCCCTGGAGGGAGGAAGCCAGGGCCTGGGCAGGAGGTCTGTGCCGATCTCCTCAGAATCAGAAAGCAAGCCACCACTTGCCCTCACACCCAGGGTCTTCCCGCAGGTGGAGCTGAAGAGCCAAGAGGCCCAGGGTCTGCAGCAGCAGCGGGACCAGTACCTGAGCTACCTGCAGCAGTACGTGGCCGCCTACCAGCAGCTGGCCACGGACAAGGAGGCCCTGCAGAAGCAGGTCCTGGTGCACTCCCAGCTCATGGAGCAGCAGCAGCAAGAGGAAGTTCAGAGCCAGGAGGAGGCCAAGAAGGCCCGCCAAGAGTTGCAGGAGACCCAGGTGAGGGAGTTGGAGTGCTGGGCCTCTCAGCCCTGAGTGGGAAGACCTGCAACTTGTGTCCCTTCTCACGCTCTTTCCTGGCCCCTTAGGGGCTCCTGGAAGCTGTCAACCAACAGAACCAGCAGCTACAGGCCCAGCTGAGCCTCATGGCTCTGCCTGGGGAAGGTAATTGGAACCGCCCAGAGGGAGAAGCCAGAGCCCAAGGGGGAGGGGGACTTTTAGCAGCAAAGAACTGAGTTAGAAGAGACCTTTGGGACAGCGAACCCTCTTCCTGTGGGGTCAGTGAGGCGGGGCAGAGCTGGGTCCCGAGCTATCTTCTTGGGCTGCTCCACCTCCCTGTGGGGTTGTCTGAGGCCCCTTTGGCTGCCCCCAACAGGCGATGGACTGGATGGAGAGGAGATGGAGGAGGAGGCTCCGCGGCCAAAGCTGAGCATCCCGGAGGACCTAGATAGCCGAGAGGCCATGGTGAGCTGGCCTCCCTGCCCTTTCCTGTCCCACCTTCCTGCCTCCCTCTGAGGTCCCTTCCGGACACCCTTGTCACCTCTTGGTTTCTACCCTCTAACTTCTCTTGATTCCCAACCTCCCCTGGGAGCCAGTGGTCAGACACCACCCCATCCTTGAACCACAGATGTGTCCACAGAGGCCCTGTGATGGGAAGGTCCTCTCTGCCTCTGTGCCTCCCGCTTGTCCTGAGCATTCCCCCGCAAAAGCACACACGCACCTCTTGCCCGCAGGTGGAATTTTTTAACACGGCCTTAGCCAGTGCTGAGGAAGAACGGGCACAGCTGCGCAGGGAGCTGAAGAAGCAAAAGCTACACTGCCGGCACCTGGCGCAGCTGGCAGCCCCATCCCAGCGCAAGCTAGAGGCGGAGGTCCCAGCCCCGAGCCCTGAGGGGGACAGGGTGCCTGCGGAGACCCACCAGGCCCTCCAGGTGGCCATGGACCAGCTGCAGGTGAGTGAGTGTCCCCTGGCCAGGGCCAGGGAGGGTGGGGATGGGCGGGGCAGGTGGCTGCTGAGCCCTGACCCTGCTTTGTGGCTGCAGAGCCGCTTTACAGAGGTCATGCAAGAGAACGTGGATCTGAAGGAGCGGGTTGAGGAGCTGGAGCATCGCTGCATTCAACTGTCTGGAGAAACAGATACTATTGGTGAGCGGCAAGGCCAGGGCCTGGGCAGGGAGCGCTGTATGGTGGGCGGGGATCCCCAGCAGCTGAGCCCTGTCCACCCGCCTGCCCTCCCCGCTCTTCGCAGGAGACTACATCACCCTGTATCAGAATCAGAGGGCAGTACTGAAGGAGCGCCACCGGGAGAAGGAGGAGTACATCAGCCGGCTGGCTAAGGACAAGGAGGAAATGAAGGTAGGCCCTGACCACCTCTGTGGGCGGGGCCAGGGCCGGGTGTGGCTGCTGAGTGCCTCTCTCTCCAGGTGAAGCTACTGGAGCTGCAGGAGCTGGTGGTGCGCCTGGTTGGTGAGCGTAATGAATGGTATGGCAGGTTCCTGGGGGCTGCCCAGAACCCTGCTGGGGAGCCCACGACAGCCCCCCCGGCCCCCCAGGCAACTGGAGCTGCTCATAGCCAAGGTGGTGAGTAGAGGTCTGGGAGAGGGTGAGTGGGCGGGGGGTGCGGGGGGAGCTCCACAACACTCAGAGCCCTGCCCTTCTCAAAAGATCTTCACGAGGTGAGCCTGGCGGACGGTGTGGAGCCGGGCCCTGCTGCACTTGAGAACTCCACCGCACAGCAGATCATGCAGCTGCTGTGTGAGCTGCAGAGCCCCCAGGAGTACCCAGGCTTGAGCAGAAACCCCTGCATCCCCTTCTTCTACCGGGCCGATAACGATGCTGGCGTGAAGATCATGGTGATCTAATAACTTGACACTACCCCCGGAGAATTATAATAGGGGCGCGGGATGTTTCCCCGGTTAGGTTGTAATTTGACAGGTAGCTTGAAGTGAAGGTGTAACGATTTTCCCA